AGAAAAAAAAATGTATGCAATCAGATGACCAAAAGATTAGAAAGTCCATCAATTTTTTTTACATAACACTTCAATGGAATGCACGGTATACCAATCAATCTATATCCACTGACTGTTGTGAAAACATTAATTGCTAAAACTTCTCAAATAATCATGACTCTTTAGTTTTGTAATAAAAATGACTCTTAAGAAATCAACCATGTATAATTATTATTTGCATTAGTGCTTATCTATAGTTAGTACTATTGGCTATATAAAGTAATATAGCCTATAATATTTTTGGCAATAGGTTAAATGCATGGTACTAATAAATTCGAAAAATAATTATTGTCATGTATGGTCAATTTTGAAATTAAACATATTAACGACATTTTAGTATGCCCCATGTAAAAGGGCAACGATCACACATTAACCTGTAAGGCTACGTTCATATAGAGACACCCCCTCCCAAGAAATTGACGTATCAATATCAACAAAACGATTGATGAGTGGCCCTAATTGTTTTTTTGTCCCCCTCTATTTTGCATATATTACCAAAACCCACATTTTAATACTTTTCCTCAACTTAACTTGGTCTAATGTTTTATTAGGACGTCTTTTAAAGTTTTACAGTATCTATTATTAAGTTTTAATAAATGAGATTTATATTTTTAAAAAGGAAAAAAAAAAAGAGCTTAGCCTAAAATCAACCCTTTTCACTATAGATAAGTGTATAAATTCAGAGATGGAAATAAGAACAGAAACAGTAAGTTTCGTTTCATATAATAATGAGCTAAAGATTTCTTTAATTACATGTATCATGTTGTTTAATTTGTGATGACCAAATTGTGAATAAATAGCTCTAAGCTGGGGGAAGTTGCAATCACTATCAAACTATTTATTGACCCAAGTCTCGTCTTTGGATTGATCCTCACATATTAAAGACCACAACAAAACAAAACATATGCATAAATAAGCATGACAAAACAAGATGCATGCGCACACTTATGTACAAACATGCATAGTTTTGTAAAGTTTTTTGTTGTTTCTTTAAAATTATGCAATTTTAACTTTTAAGATAAAAGAAAATAAAGTTATAATGCTTAATGCTAAGTTAAAATTAGATCAACGGCCAGGCACTTTCTCACTGTGAGACGAGAGAGATCTTAGACCGTTGATGTAAGCCATCGACAAGCTATTGATAACCGATATTTAGGGACCATATAGATTTTGTGTTTAAGCAGATCATGTGGATTGTCAGATTAGCCTAAAATGACTATTTTGCCCTTGTCTTTGAGTATATATATGTTTAGGCGGTGGGTATGGTGGTCATTGTTTGGCAAGTATCCTACATATGCCAAGTGTGCATATGTCAATTCTACCACACTCAGAAAATTTGACACGATCAAACGCTTTGTCCTCACATGCATGTGGCGTACTGGAAATCGAAGGATTCTGATCGGTCGAATCTGGAAACAGAATCGACGGATGTAAAACAGAAGGTACCGTCACTTGGGTACACAAGACCGCACCATAGCCAACCACAAAGATCCTCCGCAATACATTTGTAAGCGAATGTTTTTCTTTTTTCCGGCGCGAACGGTCAATCTGTAGCGCAAGTCCTCACCTACAGGTCAAAAAAATCAATAACCATTGGAAAAAATTATTATAAGTTTAGCACCTAATTAATAAGCTACATGTTATAATATATGTTTAATTCGTGGTATTTTTATCAAGTCCCTTTTGTAATATACGAGTATATAGAGGAGAAATACCACGAATCTTCTATCACGAAAATATTTCATAGGAATCTTTCTATGTATATAAGAATATACTAGTTTTAAAACATCACAGTATAGCGGCAGCCGAACAATAAATGATCACTATAAATCATGTGGCTTTAAGATTAATATAGTGTATATATATAACTGGATAGTACTATGAATATATGTATATATGTGATATGAATCAAGGACTGAATTTCGTAATAGAATTGTTCAAATGTAGATGGTGGTGAATATTTTATACATACAATTATAAATAGTAACTAATTAACTATTCTTAGCTAACTAAGCAGCTAGAAGATGAACAAATTGTGTATATATAGCTGTCATAGCGTCATGTAACACATATAGGGAGGTTAGTAAATTAATGTATAAATTTAATTTGTCTCGTGGATAAGTAGCAAGTACAACCGTATACGCTATTATCTGTTAACAATGGAGTTTAAAATCTTCAACTTTTTCAAACTACGGTTGATTATAAATTAAAGGATTAAACTTTCACTTTGTTATATAGCTTGTTGGCTTATAATTATTAAATTAACAAACCAATTAAAAAGAGTGAAAAGACACATGTTGATACACCATTGGAGAACTCCTTAATCGCTCCCACGTCCGTGATTAAAAAACGTATCGAGCATTAGAAAGTGTCAAGCGGTTATAAGTTATAACTCCTGAATCCTGACTGATTAATCAAGAACTAGTCAAATATTAGAATAATGAAAATTCAAATCAATAGTACACACTGCACACGCATTCTTTTTTTATTATTATTGGTTACAGTTAAAATCAAGTTGTAGATTCTTATATATAGTTTGGTTGGTATAAACCTTAGTCTGTAACAAAAAAACTAGACATTATATATATGGATTTTCCAATTCGATACTATCTTAAAATGGTACTATATGTCAGTAAAATTATTTATTTTCTTAGCTCTTTTTTGTCGGCTTATTTTTTTAGCTTTTAGTTTCGAGTTCAGTACATATTTGAATTACGTTATTATTATTACATTTTTACCGTAAGAAATTGAACATAGGTCCCACAATATGACGTCTTAAAGAATGAGAATAGATCCCATGGGATTGGAGAGCTAACGTATGACGGCGCTAAACCGTTAAACTTTATTTGATTTTTGGATTAGTGCAAGAATGTAACAACGGTAACGGATCCAACGGTACGTTATGAATTTTGTAATCAATAAAGTAGTCTTTGTTTTCCCCTTGTAATCGCTAAGTAGTTTTTACCTTTTTGTACTTGTGAGAATTATATAAAACATATAAAAATTTCGTCAATTTATTCTGTCTGAAAGAAAACTCTAAAATATAGTGAAAGACAGCACAATTGTAAAACTGTTATATACTATGGTAGTGAATGGTGACAACGTAATCGCGTATTTCAGAAAAAAAAATTGAAAACTGCATTTCAAACACCAATCAACATCTATTCTACCAATTTGCGTTTTTATTTTACTTTTAACAGAAAGTATATGCGTTTTTCGAAAACAAGTAAAACCCTTTGGACCGCTTTTAAAAACTAGAACATGCTTTTACCCTGTGGTTCAACGAAATACGCAATGGTTTATATATATTATTATTTTTAATTTTTTAATTATTAAAATATCTATATATATGTAATATTTTTTACCCCAAATACATATACCTTCCTCTCTCTTTGGAAAGCATATTTTCTCTCATGAAATTTCAAGTAAAGTTATATTTTTTATGATTGAATTTTTAAATAATTTAGCAATAATTATGTCAAAAAATTTAATATTTTAATTTAAATTAATTTACAGATTTAAGATTCACAAATATATGAAAATGTTTCTTCATTACCACAAAACAATCACTAATTTATAATTATTGTGTACCGCAAACAGTTTTTCACCAATCGAATTTTATTTTGTACCGCTTATTTTGTATTAACCGCATTTGTCCCGCAAATATATTTCTCCCACACGTACCGCAGTTGAACCGTACCGCACTATAAAACCGCTTTTCCCGCACAACCAAATACGCTGTTACCATTCGGACCCTATAAACAAACAGACAGATAAGTGGATTTAGTCATTTAGATAAGTCAAGTCAACTAGATTACCAATTAACAGATAAAATTTATTTTATTAATACAAACAAACTCTCTTTAACAAAATAAAATAAAAACAGACTCCATGATTTATGTTTGATTCAACGGTTACTATGATGATCAAGTAGCGTTTACAATAAGATAATTGATGTAGCCATCAAAGTACATCTATTTATAATTTATTTTCTATAAGATTCTTATTATATTTTATTTGAGATTTTAGCCACCTGTTGCAAATTCATTTGTTATTAGAGAAACTTCTTTTTATTAAAGGCTATCTATGCACTATTAATATTACAATTATTCATTACATTCCGGAGTCCATGTAAATCATTTAAACGATTACATTCAAAGTGGTCTTGCTTTTATTTTTAAACACCTTTAGTTTGATGTTTATTTATCAAATAGATCGGTGAACAAGACTCTGCAATCATCTTTATCTTGTGGCTGAACGGTCTTGCTTTTATTTTCCTTTAAAAAAACAGGAATCAAATCTATAAGCACTATCAATTTTTTTCAATTATAAGATATTCCTCCAAAAGAGATTCACAATCAACGTCGATCGATTCTCATGGAATCGAGCTTGGTAACTCTACTTATGTAGCTAAACTTTTTCTTTAACCAAAAATAAATTATCTAGCTAAGTAATTGGAAATCACATATATTTTGTTCCCAATACGTTATTTACGCACCTTCTAACAAATATTGCATTTCAAAGCCTTTTGATAATTACAAGGGGTATAATATTTAAATTTAGGTTATGAAAGTATTTGTGTAACCTTGCAACTCTCTACTCTATATAAGTTTTTTTAAAAAGGAAACATTTATAATTTTGGACCAAATATACATATGTGAAACATCAGATTTTAAATAAACTTGTACTTACTTCTCCGAAAAACTTAACTACCAGATATATATTAGATAAAGGTGTAAATAGTATGAAATGAAAACTATATATGTTGAACAATGAACACATTCTTAATTATGATAGAGAGCGACAATAAAATAAAACAACTACACAAATAAAGTATGTAATCAAAAAATTCCTTTTAATTACAAACAAAAAGTTAATAAATAGATAAAAATGTAGCCAATTTTTTTTTAAAGGAGGTGAGATTATCTATATAAATACCAAAGCCATCTGCTGATCTTTAAGCCCCACAGACCAAAAGACACTCTCCTTTTGTTTATCTCTCTATCTTCACTTACTTTGCTTTGATCCGCCATGGCTACGAAACTCGAAAGCTCCTTAATCTTTGCCCTTTTGTCCAAATGCAGCGTTCTAAGCCAAACTAACCTCGCTTTCTCTCTCCTCGCCGTTACAATCATCTGGCTCGCCATCTCTCTCTTCTTCTGGACCTATCCCGGTGGACCTGCTTGGGGTAAATTCCTCTTCCGTCGGTTTACATCCGGTTCATACAAAACCGGAAACGTTATTCCCGGTCCAAGAGGCTTACCTTTGGTTGGAAGCATGTCACTCATGTCAAGCACTCTAGCTCACCGACGAATCGCTGATGTTGCAGAGAAATTCGGAGCCAAGAGGCTCATGGCTTTCAGCTTAGGAGAGACTCGCGTGATCGTCACGTGCAATCCCGACGTCGCGAAAGAGATTCTGAATAGCCCGGTTTTTGCTGACCGACCGGTTAAAGAATCGGCTTACTCTCTGATGTTTAACAGAGCAATTGGTTTTGCACCACACGGTGTTTACTGGCGAACGCTTCGCCGTATCGCTTCGAACCATCTCTTTAGTCCAAAACAAATCAGACGAGCCGAGACGCAGCGGCGGGAAATCGCTAGCCAGATGGTTGGGTTTCTTGGAAAACAGAGTACTAGTAACGGACTCTGTTTTGTTCGTGAGTTGCTTAAAACGGCGTCGCTTAACAACATGATGTGCTCTGTTTTCGGACAAGAGTATGAGCTTGAACAAAACCATGTTGAGTTACGTGAATTGGTCGAAGAAGGTTATGATTTACTCGGAACATTGAATTGGACCGATCATCTTCCTTGGCTATTTGAATTTGATCCTCAGAGAATCCGGTCTAGATGTTCCACACTCGTACCGAAGGTAAACCGGTTTGTATCCCGGATTATATCCGAACACCGTCATCAAACCGGTGATTCGCCTCGTGATTTCGTCGACGTTTTGCTCTCCCTCCATGGTTCAGATAAATTATCCGACCCGGACATAATCGCCGTTCTTTGGGTATGCATACCAATTATTTGATAATTATATTTGTTGAAAATTGCTTCGGATTTAGATTAAAACATGAAATTTGAGTCTGCGTGTGACGTGTGGTGGAATAATTAAAGCATTAGAAGTTAGTAGTTTTTTGTTTGACATCAAATTAGGAAATTTTATATTTTATTAACAGATTTTATAAAGAGAATAAAAAGTACTAAAATTTTTGAGTTATTATTACAGGAGATGATATTCAGAGGAACAGACACAGTTGCGGTTTTAATTGAGTGGGTCCTTGCTAGGATGGTCCTTCATCCAGATATTCAATCAACGGTACAAAACGAGCTAGATCAAATAGTCGGAAAATCAAGAGCCGTAGATGAATCTGACTTGGCCTCACTTCCATATCTAACGGCTGTGGTGAAAGAAGTATTGAGGCTTCATCCTCCAGGCCCACTTCTATCATGGGCCCGTTTGGCCATAACAGACACGATCGTTGATGGTCGTCTTGTTCCGGCAGGGACCACAGCAATGGTGAACATGTGGGCCGTATCGCATGATCCACACGTGTGGGTTGATCCTTTGGAGTTTAAACCTGAGAGGTTCGTGGCAAAACAAGGTGAGGTGGAGTTTTCGGTTCTCGGGTCGGATTTGAGACTTGCACCGTTCGGGTCGGGTCGTCGGGTTTGCCCCGGGAAGAATCTTGGTTTGACTACCGTTACGTTTTGGACGGCGACGTTGTTACATGAGTTTGAATGGGGACCGTCCGATGGGAACGGCGTTGACTTATCAGAGAAACTGAGGCTTTCTTGTGAGATGGCTAATCCTCTTGCTGCTAAATTGCGTCGTAGGCGCAGTTAAGAAAAAAGGCTTATAAGAAAGTTAAAAGATTTTAATTAAGCAGCTTTTCGTTTTATTAGAAGTTTAGAACTAACATTTTGGAGAGTGATGTGTTTTTGTTTTTTTTTTTCTTTATTTATGCTTGTGTGTTGTGAGTCTGAGATGAGAGTGATGTGTTTTTACTTTTTAGGTTGTAAATACATGAAAAGTACTTTATATTTACACCATAATGTGTTTTAGACTTTTTAGTTATAATCTATAGTGTCAGATTATTTGATTGTTGTTAGCCCACAAAACTGCGCAAAATCGTTCGTTTGATATTTATAACATTTAGGAACATAGAATGATTTCTATCACACATCAAGATTGCAACAGGATATTAGATTATAAAATCAGTTTTTGGTGAACAATCTTTGCAAGTCTACTGTCATTCCGGGAATTGTTTGAATTTTTTCACAACAATCACTTGTAAGTTAAGTTTCATAAAAACACAGAATTTTTTGGTTTGTTCTATCAAAAATAACATTATTCGGAGAAATGTCCACTCTATAATATTTCCATGTGTTTTTTAGCGGATTGATCAGATCAACTGAGAGAATATTAAAAAATAAACATTATTACACGTTTTAGTATTTCCAAATAAAACAAAACTAACTTTCTTGACGGCAAAACTTAACTTAAGAAAAATACTTTCATATGTTTAATTCGTACTATATCCAATACATGAATACAACAAGAACAAGTAAAAAAATAATGTACTACTCCCTCCGTTTCAGTTTAGTTGTCGTTTTAGGATTTAAATTTTGTTTCATAATAGTTGTCGTTTTAGGTTTTCAATGCAAATGTTTGGTGAAAATTCCAGTTTTATCCCTATTGTTTTAATGTTTTAGCCAATGGAATTTTTTATAAATATATTAATAAAGGGTAAAACAGAAAATTTAATGTTTTTCTTAATTTGTGTGAAAAAACCTTAAACGACAACTAAAACGAAACGGAGGGAGTATTACATTCTAAAATTTTGATTAATAAATTCCCTCGATTTGGTACATTGAAAACCAACATTCCTCATTTCTTTGTGTCCTTTTTCTTGACATTTTGAATTCTGTGTCTTTAAAGTGGCAAAAAATAACCGACAGTATAAAGGCTGAAATTACACATGTGCAAAGTTTTTGCTAAAAATAGAGAAAGCTTTTGTTTTCATATATTTGACACAACACACATTCCTTCTTTGTAAGTATGCCTCACCCATTTTGATGATTAAATCCCATTAATTTGTGGTTTAAGTAAGAATTTAATGAAACCTATATAATAATAAGTTGGTTGTTTTGTCATACTCGAGTAAAAATAACAAACCTCATGCTATAAGAAATTGGCATATATCAACAAAGGGCCTATTGCTAAGGCCCATTAACATAAAATAAATAGGACATAATAATCAAATTCTGAATGATGGGCCAAATCTTCACATAAAAAGCCCGTTATTACGAACACACAAAAACCAAGAACAGTAAGAAACTGTGATCAATCTTCTCATCATGATTTTGTCTACTTGTTGTTGTTGTTGTTGTAGAATCTGAGAGCGAAAGCAACGCCGAGAATCAAGAGAGGAATCAAGTAAACAAGAAGCTTGTTTCCAGATGCTTCTTTAGTTGCTTCCGCCGCCGTAGATTCCTTCTCCCACGGCGGAATATACTTTTTCGTCACCGGAACCGTTGACTGGTCAACGTCACCGATACAGTATCTCTTCATCAGCTCCTTCGCATCTTTGCTATGGTTCACGTCTTCGAAATCGATCGACGCGTCTTTTCCTTTATATTTCCATAAAAAGTTCACAAAATTACAAACCGATAAATTAAACCAATCCGGATTAAACCAACTCGTATTCGCACTACGTACCGGTGACGGCGAGGAGAACATTGTCACCGCCGGGATGTTCGTCCATGAAAGTACTGATGTCATAGACCTGTAGATACACTAGGCTTAGAAACAGAGTATAAAGCAAAAAAAATAACAGAGCATTTATAATCTTTAAATTTGTTTATGTGGTTTAAAGAAAGTAAAAATATTGGACCTTTCCATGGATGAGAATCCAACAATCGTTCTTGCACTTATGTTTAGCCACATCGTGAAACGAAATTAGATTCGCCATTTGATTGCTCTTGCTGAAAAAGTATCTTGAAATAGAGAACTTTATATAGAGATTAGAGACTTCAAATAAATTAGATTGAAATTTTTTTGAAGAAAGCAAAGATTGTGAGGGGAAGACTTTCTAGTTTCCACGAACCGATGATAAGACAGTGCGTAGCTTATGGAGACCACATGCGTTATGTTTATATTGTAAGCTGTGAAACTCTTGAATATTGTTATTACTAGATTTTGATGAAATTACAGTCTTATTTGGGGTAAATAGTTTAATCCTAGCTTTTTGAAGATGTACGAAGCAATATATATTTGACCAGTTTAATACATCTTTCTTTTTGTTGAAGTTTGATATTCTTTTCGTGTAAAATATATGACAAAAAAGAAGGAAGGTAAAAAAGGGTACCTACCAAAGTAAAACGTGAAGAATATGGAGTTTGTAAGTTAATGGTAGCTGAGATGCATCATCCAAGTGGTCAGCGACCTCAGGTTGGTGAAGCTCTTTCACGTTTTTATTTTTCTCTTAAGCAAAAGAAAAAAAGTCAAAAAAAAGAAAGAAAGAAAAGTCAAGCCTCAGTTTTCTTTTGTTTTAACTTTTTAAGAAGCCTCAAAATCACTTTTCTCATCAGGCCCAATAACGCAAAAGGGCTTCTTGTTCTGAGTAGGATAATTTAGTCCTTTATCAATTTATATGACTTTATGTTTGAAATTTCTTCAAAATTGACCAAGCTATAGCATAATGGAATACTATTCACCACAATCCACGATTCTATTTAAACGGAAACTTTTAAGAACGATTCATTGATATATAGATACGTCTAAGTAAGAAAACATATGACATAGTAATAAAAATACAATATGCATAACAGGAAAGAAATAGTAATAACTTAGTAATGTTTGTAGTAAGAAAGCAATACATCTCAACAGTCTTAACAATACCAACACATTCTGAAATAACAACAAAAAAAATCACATATAATATAGGAAGCAATAGATCCAATGATTGCTCTTGTACGACGTCGTCGTCCTAAGACTTCCAGGCCACGCAATCTGTTCCACAAAGCATATATATATGAGCAAATGAAAGAGATAAATCATATCGAACACCTAAACTAAACTAATTAAGAAATACAAACCTTGAATGTTAAGAAGACAATGTGACTCGAGAGCTTCACAGTTCCGAGTTGGCTTGTATGGAACGTCCTTCTTTAAAGCCTTAGTCGCATCGATATCTGGATGGATCTTCTTCTTCAACATCCTCTTTATCATCTACAGTAATATATACTCATATATGATGCTATACTTGTGCACATCGAATGAATATTTACTCACATATGAGTACACTTATGAAGCAACAAAAGTGATGCTAAATATAACGTGCACACAACATTACTAGAGCTTGACGTGACATCGTTTCGCTGGAGTCATAGAGGCACATGTAACATGTTCATATATCCATCATCATCAATGTTACATAATTATTGAATTAATTAAAACAAATTTAAATACCTGACGCATTTTCTTGATTGGACGTAAGTCTTTTTCTTCATCTTTGGACTTTGACATGGCCAGCTTCTTCTTAACAAACGAGAACTTCTTACTTAGTTTTGAACCGTTTTGTTTATAATATTTAACCTCCACACCGTCAAGGTTAGGGTTCTTGGGTTGCTTGCCATGCCACGTGTCATAGCCTTCGTCGTGGACCTCGTGGTCCTCCATGAAAAGCTCCGCAAGTGTTGTCCTCTTCTTCTGTGGCTCTATCTCGGCCTCCGCCGCCACCGTTACAACTGGCGTTTCAGCGGTTTTGGTCGAGCCAAAGTGATCAGTACTCTCCAATACGGCCTGCACGTACAGATTATAATATGAAAGATCTCAAAAATATCAGTCACAAGAAGATATAATTTTATGTATCTTTTCTTTTGCATATAATGGCCTCTTGTCGACAGAGAATAAATGATGATCTCGATTGACTCAAATGTAATTCCTGCATTTATATGTTTTTTAGTCATATATAATTTGAAAGAAAAACCAAATTTTCATAGATTAGTGAACGGAAAATCCTTCCATTTTAGTTAACTTACTTCTACAATTAGCAATCGAATTAATTAGTTTAAATATTTTGAAATTGTGGATTCATTTGAAATTATATAGTAATCAAATCAACGTAAGCGCACACAAACAATTGATGAATGCATGTCTTATGTCTATATAATCTCTATTGGTAAAACGATGCGGTGATAAAAATGTACTCAATAGAATTGATTAGTAGTACGTACCCCAACATCTTTATGATGATCATAAAACTTATTTTCTTCGGAGATAAGAGGATCCAACTCTTGGTCCACGTTCTTGATGATGCTGCCATCAATTACGACATAGTCGAGATCCACACTCTCACATTCATCATCATCTTTTTCATCTTCTTCTTTAAAGTTCAAGGTGTCGAAACCAAATGTGCCGATGGTGAGAACTCCATCGAACCAATTATCAAGAGCATCCACTAACCCCACTTGATCCAATATAGCTTTCGTGTTCTTCTCAATCTCACTTATTCCTTCATCTCTCTTCTTCTTCTCGTTTTTCGTCACACCATCTATTTTTTTCACCATATGAAAATATAAATGTATGGATCTAAAATATAGCTTGGACAAAATCTATGCTTTAGCGAACGTGGTATACGTTAATATAAAACTATAAATTAAACAGGGAACCACATGATCCTATATGATACTACAAAAAGTAAAACTACTATTTAGCTAAGCACACAATATTTTATAAACAAATAAAAATACTGATTATAAAAAAAAAAAAAAAAAAAAAAGCTAACCTTTGATGACATTTTGGTGCAGCTTTTTCTGCACCCAGTTAAAGATCTTCGGAAAATCCCGGAAAACAATTAAAGATTTTTAATTAGCTATATATTAAAAAAGATCAAATTAAGCAAAAGATATAACAACAAAATTTACGTACCGTCATAGTTTTCTCTATTTCTCTTATCAGTAGAGTGAAAGGTCTCAACCAAAAAAGAATAGTGTGAAATGAGAAATTTATTAAGACACTAAATAATCACAAGGAGAGTCCTTCAGCTTCTGACACGTGTTAATTACAGTGCGTGGGTTGGATCGGTCTGACTTTTGGGAGGCAAAGCCAATAAGTAGGTGCCACATGTCAGTGGTGTTGTGCTTATCTGGTCGTCACACTATTCGTTATCCCACCCTCTATTATTAAGAAATTACTTTTTGACCCGATTACTTATATATTATCAAAGTTTGACCTGATAATTTTAATCATTTTTAGTTTTGCCTTTCAGTGGTTCATTTCTTGTAATCTTGTTGGTAGACTTCTGTTGCTTTCAATGTTCTATCATTTGATTAGACATTGAAGGAAAAATTCGTTGCATTAAAGCGATTGTTTTGGTTTCAATCAATTTTTTTCAAAATGGACGTACAGTTTTAATATCTTTTTTCAGTATATCATATTCACCAGCTTTGGATTCCCTAAAGAAGGTACAAATATAATGGAAGCAATTCGCTCACTGTGGTCACCATAATATAATGTCGAGGAATGTCGTCGCGGATCGTTGGTTCACTGTCAACAATATTACAATTATGTATTCAAACTCTATCGATCAAATTTTAAGAGTGATAATCATCGCTTTTTAATAAGTTGACGTAAAATTATCTTCAAAATTGGAAAAAGCTCTGCCATTTCTCTTGACAGAAACACTTGCTATATGCCTATATACTTAAGTTATTAACAAGATTATTATGTTGTAAATTACATGGGCAATATTCCGTTACTAATAGATTAATTGCCACAAATAATAATTTACGGATTTATAATCTGACACCAACTTTTGTCAAATTCGTTAGTTGTAAGGTATTGGATACCTATTAAATCCTCAAAGATACAATATTAAAGATTAGGAGGACTATGCATAATGCATTCACATGCAAAGTACCCTTAAAGCTTTTTGAAGAGCACACAATAGCCCACACATACTGTTAGGACTTGGACACTTCAGTCTCCTTTCTCTTTGTCTGTTGCTTCTTGTTCTCGAACTTTTGTTATCTTTTGCCTAATTATATGGCCACTTTGTTCAATTGCATAAATTTTCGAAAGTATTGTACTACTTAATTTACACTAAATATCCGATCCCTGTGTTATGTTTTTTTTATTTGATAGTGATGTTTTTGTTCTTGGAGAAATTTAGAAAAAATTCACAAAAATCGACTGAGAAAGTAACAAAGAGTATAAGCTTATAAGACCCCTCTGGCTTTTCAGTCCTCCAAGTTCTATTTATTCATTAAAATGCTTAGTTTAGTTCACCCCCACTTCTTTTTCCAGAAACTGTATACAATCACTAGAAAAGATGTGTACGTAGATGAATAAATTTTACATTACAAAAAAAATAAGCATATGCGTTTGTTGGGGATATTTTGTTAGATAAATAGATAAATGGGAGCTTATTGAAGCATGTGCTTCCGGTTATGTGTCATAACAGACACACGAACCAATTAACATTTGAGTAGGAAGTAATTGAGTTGATTTGATTAGTTAACAAGGTTTTTTTTTTTTTTTTTTTTTTTTTTTGTCGGCTAACAAGGTTTTCTCTTTTCTTTACATAAATTTGTCGCTTGTGACCATATATATAATCTTTCGGAATATTTTTATCCAAATCGTTGCCCCCAGTTTCGTAGCTAAAATAAATGTACCTTAATACAAATTGTATATTTGCACCCAAAAAAAAAAAAAAAAATTGTATATATAGGCCGAAAAATATGATGGCGAAAAAAATATATATATATAAAATGGGCCTATGCAGTATACATTGGGCTTCACAATATAATGGGGCTGTCTGGTATAGTAATAATATAGGATGATTTAATGATTATTGAAAGGGAGATTTCTCATTAATTACAAGTAGTAAAAAAGAAATGTTCGTTTTAAGTAAACGAATCAAAGCCTCCATATAAGTGAGAGGATCTCCAAAAGCTTAGAGAAGAATCAGAAACCATTAACCTCACTCATATTTTCTTTATTCTTTTTTTTTTCATTTATTGCAACTTTAAATACAAAACCTTTAGTTTTTTTTTTTTTTAATAAGCCGGAAGATCCCAGACCCAACGTGATATATTCTTCTTTTTCATCAGTTGGTGTATCCGCCATTATTACCGTAATCACTGACATGAAAACCATTGTCGGAGCCAGGTTTCCGGGAGATTTTAAGATGAACGCCGGGATCATGATGAGATGCCGTCGAATTGTAAACAATGGAGTTGTTTATCATCTGAACATTACTGTTCATAAAAGCTTTCATGGGGAGATTACTATTGCCATTGTTAGGGTTCTTCGTTGTTTTCTTCTTCCCTTCTCCTTCGTCGCTGCTGCTACTGCTGCTGCTTTGAAGTCGACGTCCTTTCTCTCCAGTGCCGTGTGAAACCCTAGAGGAATGTGTTCCAGAACCTCCCGTTTTGTTGCCTTGAGGAGATCGTAGGATCTCCATTATAGCACCTTTGTTTTCACCTGCAATGGTGATGACTCGTGTGCTCATTATGTTCTCAGAATCGGAAGAAGATGGTTGACGATGCATCTTCTTGGGGTTGTTTCCTTGATGGTTATGGTTTTGGTTATAGTTATGGTTCTGGTTGTAGTTATGGTTCTGGTTATGATGATTTGGTTCGTGGGTTTGGCTTGTTTTCTCGGCAGTGAGAATGTTTTTCTGAGTGGTTTCGCGTTCCGAATGTAACTGAGAAGGTGGGAGAGAGTAAGGTGAGAGTACTCTCGGTGATGGTGCTTTCCGATGATTCTCTGACTCTGATGCAGACCGAGTTTTCACTGACTCAGATGATGTAGACCGACTTGAATGAGCTGGACTCAGTGGTGAGTTTGGTTTTCGCGGTGGTAAGGCTTCTTGAACCTCCTTGGGAGATGGTGGCGGCGTGTATGATGACCGAGGCGGTGGCGGCGGTGGTGTCGCAGCCTTTGGTGGGGTCGGTGGTGACATGTGGCGACTTGGAGGTGAATGATATGGGGACCGCTCTTGATGAGGTGAAGCTGGAGGAGCCTTCTGACGTGGAGGGGTAAGAGGCTGTTGCTGCTGACGTGGAGGGGTAAGAGGCTGTTGCTGCTGACGTGGAGGGGAAGGAGGTTGTTGCTGACGTGGAGGTGAAGGAGGTTGTCGCTGACGTGGAGGTGACGGTTGTTTTGCCGGAGGTCTGACTACGACCGTACGGCGAGGGGTTGGTCGGGGTTGAGGTGGAGGAGGGTCGCTTGAACCTTGTGATGTTGGTCTAGCGATGCTAGAGAGACGGAACCATGGACGAATGTTAGACATTATATAGTGTATAATTTATTTGAAATGTAAGATGTTATTTATAAGTGTGGCAAAACACAATGGAACGATTTAGAGATGTAACCAAAGCTTATATATAGATAGATTATAAACAAGTGTGTTGAAGAAAAGTGAAACACGAGAAGCATGAAAGGAAAAAAGTAAAAATGAAGAAGAAAGGTATCAGATCCATGCAATGAGATTTACAGCTTGCAAAACCCACATTTTACGACTGGTATCAATCGTTAAGAGCCACTTTCAAGCTTTTTTTTTGATAACCCAGTATCCAGACCACACAGTGATCTGACTAGCCCACTGGACCTAAGCCCGCGTCACAGGGATTTTTAAGCCTCCACTTAAGGGCCCCCTGATAAACTGGTGGTCTGGGACGCCTGAGCAAGTCCGCAGGTAAATTCCCAGGTGGCCACAGGAGTGAGAGAGCGAAACTGCGTCTGGGGAGGATCGATCCCTGGCCTAGACCAACAGGGCGATCCTTCCAACCAAACGAGAACCACTCGCCCACCACCATGTGGTTCACTTTCAAGCTTTTCCTTATAACTTATCTATCACCGTTGATAAATTAATTTAGGTTCTAAATTCGTTGCTATGTCTGGAAAAAGAACTGTGCATCTAGTCACAGTGACGCAAAAGACGACTAAATCCATATGCAGAACAAAATCTTTACAATAGTCCCTCGAACTAGCCACTTGCAGAAAAAACGATGCATGTGTGATTTTGTAGTCCATTTTTTTATTTGAAATTTGCTCGACCTTAACACAAGACAAATGAATTATCATAATTTTTATGGTAGCTGGGATAGATCATAGGCCGAAATCCATATTATCATTATGTGATTGGGTTAATTTCAATTTAAATCATTAATTTTTAACTATATTTCACTTTTTTTCTTTCTAGTTATGTTGTTTTCGAAAGAATGAATGCTAATGAGAGAGTAGTGTTTTTCCACTAATATGAGACACAAATTATTCCCTGATTCTCCTCTATTTTTTGTCGATTAGACTACTAAGTATAATAGTAACTAGTATACATACATGTATACTTTTTATACGAACGGTTGATATTGTTTCATTTAGTATTTTTTGACAACTTGCTTTTATTCAACGATTATTAAAACATATCAAAAGGGAAACTTCAGAAACCAAACACCGAATACTAATGAGCAATAAAAAGTATCAATGAGCTAAGCATCTTCCTCAGCTTTTCTTTTTCAAATTCATAAAACTTAAATGTATTGATCACTACTCTGAGTCTGAGCCATTAATTCTTTCCTTTACGAACAAAAAAATCTTATGACAATATATATATATACAATGGTTCGACTTCAAAGTGTATGATCGGTTGCTTATTGGGCATCAGAAGTTCCTATCTCAAGCGTAGCATCTAATTACAAGCATCCCTTTCTTTTTTTGTTCAATTTAATTTACATACTCTATACATTACAAATTTAAATCTTATACACCACAAATTTAAATCATATACTTTGTATTTTTTTTCATAAAACATCATAATGTATATGTAGTCCACGTCATCAACATAATTAGAAAGATCTTCAAAAGTTAATACAAACTTCATAACTTTTTTTCTTTTCGTCAACTGATTAAAAGAGATCATACAAGATAAATTGTTAGTAGAAAAATTCTAATCAAATAATTCTGTGTCAATCAAAAATATCAACAAAACTACTAGTAGGAGTGTAAATCTCCAAGTTATTATATAAAGTAAGAAAGATATAAATACATATATATGGAGTATATATAGATATACATGTTATATACATGTTAGTATCTTCTAAATTCGCTTTCACATCCAATTGTCTCGTTCTAACAATCTTATTCATTGCTGCAATTTTAGTAACAAATGAAACTAACGTTTAAAGAATCATCAACTCTTTTGAAATTTTTGAACTCGTTAAATTTGGTTACTTTTGAACTCTGATATCTAATATTGGCGATAAATATAAGGCATTTAAAGTTGTAACATGACCATTGAATTGGGTAAAATGTGTATAGGCCCATTTTTTTTAAGAGGTCGATTCGTAATGGCCTTTCGTCAATGTACAGTTCGATAATTCAACATAAGCAATTATAGACTCCGTTTTTGTTCATTTAGCGGAAACGAAATAAATCAGTTTCATTAGTTCGCGTTATGGACTTATAGTCAAGATTCAAGAATATAAATCAGTTTATTTGTTATTTTCTCATATTTTTCCGTTTGAAACTATATTTGTTTACTATTTAAGTCAATGTCAAAGAAAGACTATATACTCCGTTCGAAACACGTTTTCTTGTTGTTGTTAGAATTAAGTTTTTCTCGAATAGTCAACATACTTATACGCATGGAATGGTTTAGTCGGATTATATGTCAATAAACATACTAATGAAGTCACTGTATAATGTATATCATATATTGATCACACGTTAAATTCATTCTCTAATGTAGTAGCACATGCAAAATATGCTAACCTGACCCAAATGCATTTTTATTTTCTTCCAAACTTAGAGTAAACCTAAGTTCTCAAAACAAAAACCTCTAGATTTAGTATTTTTTAAACCCAATTCGGGATAGATTCTTTTAAATATATTATTTGCTTATATATAACTAAAAAAAGTATAATAACCTAGATGTTAGGGTCCATTTCAATTTGTGGTTTTGTTTTGTTTTTTGGATTCTCGAGTTATAAAATGTTTTTTTTTTATAAAAATTATATGTTTCAGTTTTGTTTGACCTGGATTTGCTTTTAACAAATATGTGCGTTTTTATTTGCAGTATTAAAAGTTTTGATATGGTTTCATCAGTTTGGTTTAAATCGGATCAACCAGATTGATCAGCTCGATCTTAAAATATGCATAATTGAACATAGAATCATGATGAATGCACATACCGATGACGTTCAATTGGTACAACTTTGCAGGCAATCGATTAGTGCAGAAAATGTAAAGCAAAAGCTGAAAACTGATAAAAATAACGAAAGATACAGCATTTATAAGCAAAAAGAGAGAAAAGAGTCATTGTTTCCATTGAATGTAATTATTATTAATATTGGACCACCGTGTATGGGTATGGCTTCAGAAATTTGAAATTACCCATGCTGAAACATTCAAAGTCTTTTTAGAGTCGCCTATACACATCTAGACATCTAGTTGTACAACAAAACCATTTAAATTATGTTTGAAAAAGAGAGTAAAATGCATGTATAATTCCCACTTGTATCTATCAACGAAGCTATTCTTGTTAGAAGAGTCTGCAAATTATAAAAGAAAATCTACAATGAAAAGTCGAGAATTCTATTCAGAAACCACAGATCATTAAACTCAACTTATTGTAAATTAGTCTTCAGACGAAAACATATTTAAGTTTGCATGATATTAAGATTAAAAAATTCATAATTAAGCAAAATGAATGCGTTAACCAAAAAAAAAACAAAATAACAGATAGATTTATAAATAAGAGTTATATGATATAGACTTATACCTTAACGTAATTAAATGAATGTTGATTTCTTGTACCAAATAACAAACACCAAACACATGCAATCCTAAAAAAGACCACAAGTGTCTTTACTCATGAACATGACACTTGTCTAGAGTAGTAACTGTAATGATAATGAATTAATTATGATTGATTGTTGCGATATTTCATACTGTATTATCCAAATACGAATCCCCCTTTGACTGACGGATTTTTGGTCGGTTAAACTCCTTTGTATTAGGCCGATTTTGAGTGCAAGTTAGGTTGTGAATTTTCATGTACGTTTTGTTTTTAAGAGAGTAACTTTTTGTGGGATTAGCCACTCTCACTCGTCAACGCTAACCATAAATCCGATGGTCTCGCTACATACCAACAATAAGCACAATATGACAATATAAAGCTATGAATTGTTGAAAGATAAGCACTTTAATTACTCATTTAATCGTTAATAAAAATTTAATTAGTCGACGTTGAAAGCAAAATAATTTAAGAAAATTAGCGTAGCGGCGGCATAAAGCATCCGCTATATTCTTCTGCTATATTGTAAGAATAATTATATGCGGCTATTCCGGAAAATTATACTTAATGGTCATTATTTTAATTGTAAGATGTTAGTTGGTGGTGGGAACTAAGCTTTTGGGCTTAATCATGAACCATGAACTATACAAAAGCTGTCTTTTGATCGGATGGATTCGTTCTTTTCTTTTTTTCAGTATCTCTTGCAAAACTATAAAGTATCAAGTCTTAGTCATTCATATTATAATCATCTATCTAACTAATATTCCTGTATTAAAATTTACGAGTTAGCTAGTTATCAATTTATCATATAAAACCCTTCAAAATGCCAAAGGGTTATGCCGCTTTAATTTGTTAAATTGATATACATAAAAGTTGGGTAATTCCTCCTCTTGCGCCGACCTCAAATGTTCTGACAAATTAGAATGAAAATGACAGACAAATTTAGCTTGTTTCTTAAGTGAATTAGCTATGAACTCCTGTCCTTGATACCGAATGTAATTAATATATATGTGGAATATTCGAGTAATGAACAAAAAATAATACAAATTTATTGTATCCAAAAGAAAAAAAAAATCATGTTGCTAATTTTCCTCATTCAAGTTGACCTTTACAAGTTTGTCTTGCCACGATAGTTGAAAATTAATCTGCAACGAAGAATATTTCAGTTGCCGTATCAAATGCAACATGTATCGCGTTACCAATAGACTACGCTGTTAATCTTCCTTATGCGTAAAGATAAATATTTAACTCGATACCTAACTTATACTTATCTATACTGTATATTAAACTTATAAGAAAAAACAATTTTAAATGCCATCAAAACTAAATGCAACATGTTTTAATATTTTCCTTATTCTAAGTAAACTATTATGTCATTTGTAGATAGGACCATAATATTCTCAGTTGAGTTTTTGTTTTTTTCTGATACTGTAGATAAACTTTTAATTTTTGGTTTATGTTGTTGTATATTTTCGGCTTTTAGAAAGTAGAATAGCAAAGATATTTCATTACTTGATTTTTTTTTATTACGAATGTTAATATTTTATTATTTATTCTTTTCTTTTTTTAACTCGTAAATATTTTTATTTAGACTTTTTTTTTCTAAATCTGTATATATTTGGGTTATAAGATATTCATGAACATACACGAAATATAAAAATATCTCTATAAATCCAATGAATATCTCTTTTATTTTGCCATGTTGATTATCTTAAAAACAAAATCTTCCAAATCACCAATCAAAGAACTATTCAAACAACTAATCGCCGTCACCTAAATCACCCCTTTGATTCGTCCCAATCACGCCTTAATATTAAAACGAAAAAACAATTTCTCGTCGTCCTTTTCGGCTTTCTCCGAGTGTTCTTAATATTCCTAACTCTCTCGATCTCCGTCAAAATAATCACTCTCTCTTTGTTTTTTCTCACAATTCTCCGAACATGCCTTTGATTTCTCTATTCTCTAATAATCCTAGTAAACTCTTCTTCTTCATCGTTACTACTATATAATATATATTCTTCTACCTGAGTTTTGGAATCAGAGAGAGGTTTTACGTTTTACTTTATTTCCCTGGAATCTTTTTTTTTCTCCATGGGGATTCTCTGGGATTCGTTTCTCTTCTTACTTGTGGCAACTTTTGCTCTGTTCTTAGTTAGGATCGTGTTATTCAAAACTGGATTGATTTACATGGTGAAGTTATGGCGGAGGAAGATCATCGACTGGTTTCATGTTTACCAATTCTACAAAGTCCCAGAATTCAACGACAACGTTCAAGAGAATCATCTCTATCAAAAAGTATACATGTATCTAAATTCCTTAAGCTCAATCGAGAATTCTGATTTCACGAATCTCTTCACCGGGAAAAAGTCCAACGAAATCATCCTCCGGTTAGATCGGAACCAAGTCGTTGGCGACGAGTTTCTCGGCGCTAGAGTTTGTTGGATTAACGGAGAAGACGAAGACGGAGCGAGGAATTTCGTTTTGAAGATTCGTAAAGCTGATAAACGGAGAATTCTCGGTCCTTATCTCCAGCATATACATACAGTATCTGATGAGCTTGAACAGAGGAACACAGAGCTTAAGCTTTTCATCAACGTCGGAATCGACGATCATCTCAAGAAGAAGAAGAATGGACGGTGGAGATCAATTCCGTTTGATCATCCTTGTACCTTCGACAACATCGCCATGGAAACCGATCTGAAGAACAAAGTCAAATCCGATCTCGAATCTTTCCTCAAAGGTAAACAGTATTACAATCGCCTTGGCCGTGTTTGGAAACGGAGTTATCTCTTATACGGACCTTCCGGTACCGGAAAATCAAGCTTCGTCGCAGCAATGGCGAATTTCTTAGATTACGATGTTTACGATATAGATCTCTCCAAAGTAGTTGATGATTCAGATCTTAAGATGCTTCTGTTACAAACCAGAGGCAAATCAGTGATCGTGATCGAGGATCTAGATCGATACCTCTCGACGAAATCAACGGCTGTGAGTTTATCTGGGATTTTGAATTTCACTGATAGTATTATCAGTTCTTGCACCGCCGATGAACGGATCATGGTGTTTACGATGACTGGGAAAGAACAAATTGACCCGGCTATGCTTCGACCGGGTCGGGTCGACGTACACATTCATTTTCCGTTATGTGATTTCACGGCGTTTAAAACGCTCGCTAATAACTACTTAGGTGTTAAAGAGCACAAGCTTTTCTCTCAAGTTGAAGGAATATTCCAAAACGGTGCGTCTTTGAGTCCCGCCGAGATCGGAGAATTGATGATCGCGAATCGTAGCTCGCCGACTCGTGCGTTGAAGTATGTCATCAATGCTTTGCAGACTGATGGAGATCGGCGAGGAACGGGACGGCGTTTGCTTTTAGAAAGCGGTTCGAGAAAATCGACGTCGGAGGATGTTTCCGATGATATGAATGGTTCGCTTTGCGGCGGTGGCGGAGGAGGAAGTTCGCCGGCGGTGAAGGAGTTTAGGAAGTTGTATGGGTTGTTGAGGATTAAAAGTAGTAGAAAATCTGGATCGTTCGATGTGGCTAGAGAGATGAGGGACGGCTAGTGATTAAAAAGTTTTTAAAAGTCAGCAGCTACGTGGGTTGGTTTTATTGGTTGAGAGAGTCTGGACAAAAAGCGCAGCCTAGAGAATGTTTACTCTGTTTTTATTGTTTTTGGGATTTAGTTAATGTACAGAAATTTATAAGATTTTGCTTTTTTTTTTGAGATTCTGATTCTTTCAAGCATTTTGGGCCGGTTGAAAAAAAGGCCCAGCCAATTGATAATTAAGTGAAATACCAAATATGCCCTTCATGATCGAATTAGATCAACCGGTTATGGTGACAGCGTCAATAACACGCTTTTTGGTTCGTCATTATAAGATTTTGTGTTATTATTAAAACGAAGCTCCGTCTTCTTCGTCGAGCGTCGTCGTCGTCTAGGGTTTATCGTTCTCGTCGTCTACTCAAATTCTTCAAGGTAAATTGAATCTTTCCCTCAGAAGATGATCAAGATACTTTGCGAGCTCTTCGATGATAAATGTTCTGATCTTTGTTGTCTCTGTTTATGTTGATTACAATTGGTTTTAGGAATTCGATTTCTGCAAGAATGAGACCTGTGTTCGTGGGGAATTTCGACTATGATACTCGCCAATCGGATCTTGAAAGATTGTTCAGCAAGTACGGGAGAGTGGATCGAGTTGATATGAAGTCTGGTATAACTTGTTACAGTTTCTTGCACTTGTACTCCTTATGGCGATCAAATTTGCTGTGTTGCAGTCTCTGTTTGATATAGGATTCTGGAATTTGAGAACTTCTCAGGCATTATTGATTGATTTTTTTTTTAGTGAAGCATGAATTAGTGTTAAGACTTAAGTGTGTGGAGAGAATTCAAAAGGAACCATGACCAGGAGTGTGTTTAAGAGAGGAGTTCTCGTTTTTAAGTCTTTGTTTGGTCGCAGGAGCTTTCTCTAAAGGAGCATGAGTGTGTTTCCTCTTTTCATGGGATTGCCAACTTCTTCCTGCAAATAGATTCCTACATTTTTCTCATGCCTACCTTTATCATGTTGTGCCTACAATCTTCGATGAGCCCTACAATCTATTGCCTTGTTTCTTCATGCCTTTCATATGTGAACTCCTACTGTCAAGAATGGTGACGCAACGCTTAGCAATCATTCAGAATTGAACAATAAATTCGATTTTATTACCTTTTCATAGGCTACATTCTACACATCTACATCTTTATTTACTACAACATCATCGAACGCCTCTACTTCTTATGTACACCAGCCTTCACATTGATGCAGGTGTTGTATATTTATTTAGTTTTCTTGTCTTTCTCTAGGTGAAAAGGTGTCTTCTTATTGACTAACTCTTCATTGCAAATTCTGTAGGCTGAAACTGTGTGTCAATTTATATACTGCGTTTTCTTATCTTGTGTTTGTATTTTTCTTGCAGGGTATGCTTTTGTGTATTTTGAGGATGAGCGTGATGCTGAAGATGCAATCCGTGGGACTGACAATACCACTTTTGGCTATGAGCGACGCAAGTTATCAGTCGAGTGGGCCAAGGTATCTCTTTCTTCTTTCTCTAATCATATGATCTTATTGTTTAAGAGAGCTCTAAGTTTCTTCTGGCTTTCAGGGTGAACGTGGGAAGCCTCGTGATGGAAAGGTAGCCTCGAATCAGAGGCCTACAAAGACACTCTTTGTCATCAACTTTGACCCTATTCGCACAAGAGAGCGTGATATGGAGAGACACTTTGAGCCATATGGTAAAGTTCTCAATGTTCGCATAAGGCGCAATTTTGCTTTTGTTCAATTTGCAACCCAGGAAGATGCAACCAAGGCCCTTGACTGTACACACAACAGGTAACAACACACATGCTTAGTTAGTACCTTTTTATCTAACAGATAGTGGTAATCCCTTACATTGTTTATCCTCTCTTGGCAGCAAAATATTGGATAGGGTTGTTTCTGTTGAGTATGCTTTGAGGGAGGATGGTGAAAGAGAAGATAGATATGCTGGCAGTCCAAGAAGGAGATCTCCTAGCCCAGTGTATCGGAGGCGTCCTAGTCCTGATTATGGCCGTCCTCGCAGTCCTGAATATGACAGGTACAAGGGTCCTGCTCCTTATGAAAGACGTAGGAGTCCAGATTATAGGCGTCGCAGTCCAGACTATGGCAGAGCAAGAGCTAGGAGTCCGGGCTATGACAGATACAGGAGGTAAGAGTACTTGGCTTCTGAATGTTCAATATCCTTTAATAGTTTATGTGCTACTCTAATTGTCTGATTTTTCTTTTTGTGTTTTTTAGCAGCCGGTCCCCTATTCAAAGAGCAAGAGGTTGAAGATGCTGTTGGGCGATGGATTTTTAAAATGTATGCGTTTTCTATGTTAGTCGGGTACAAAAACAAGTTATTAGTACTGAGTCTTCACCGCTTATGACTTGAACCGTATGTGCTTTGCTACTATATGTGGTGTAGAGTAGAAGTATTAGTAGCTTATAATGACAATGATCTCTTTTGGAATTGGAATAGTTTCAAGGTTGGGTCCTTTGTAATCATTCAGTTTTTAAGGATCAAGAAAGCTTTTTTTTTTTCATTTTATATTCAGAAACATTTATAGGTTTTGTAGAAGTAAAGAGAATACACAAGAAAAGGGGATGATCAAGGCATAGAAGAGAGATTGTGATTACATAGTTCTTGGGTGAGGGCTTTCTCCAACCAAGTTTCGGCATCTTCCATCATCTCGGGGCTTAACCGAACCATGAGAACGCAGAATTCGGTTTGGTTAAGAGCACCATCTCCATCAAGGTCTCCTTCTCTAACCATTCCTTGAGCATCTTCCTTGCTCATACCTTGAATCCCAAGTATCCCAGAGTTTCGTCTTAGAGACTCAGCTGTGATGAGATCTCTCTCTGGATCCGCAAGCAAACTGAAACCTTTGCATAACTCTGATACAAACTCTTCAACATCCATCTTCTCCGCCATAACTGGCAACATATCTTCGTATTTGGTCTCCATCTTCGTCGTAGTGGTAGTTTCTAGTATCATAGATTTCTCGGTTGGTTCCATTAGACGAAGATAATAGAAGAGAGAGAAGAGATTTTGGTGAACTCTTTTGATTAGTTCCAATGAAATATATAAGTGAGTGGCGTATCTGTACCGATGTGATTGTCACGTTCGTGTGGTCTAAAACTCTCTCTTGAATCGTAGCCGTTGGATTCTGAGAGTTGAAATAATGAACGGCTGAGAATTATTCCAAGATAAATTGCGATTTCGTGAGTAGGGAAGCAGCTGATTATTAGGTGGTTTCGTGGAAAGTTCGAATGGGCCGTGAATGCGACGCATTCCCACTATCATATATTGTTATCAAAAGAAACAGAAGACAAAGGTAAGTTTCGGAGAAATTTCGTTTTCTTGATTTCTTCTGTCGTATCTTTCGATTTTTTTGTTTGTTTTAAAATTTACTTCAATTGGAATTGGATTCTCTCACAATAATAACGACAGATAATAAAATATCTCTTTCTCCGTCCAAGCCTTAACTGATTTGATGTAACGGTAATTTCTTGTCTGAATTTGAGATGCGACTATTATGAGGGGAATATATGAACTCAAGTAAATAAAAAAATTGAATTCTGCAAATGACTAATGAAATCTTCTTTTATATACTCTCTTTTTTTTTGGGACAAAAAGAAAAGAGCTTTGTTTTCTTTCAAGCTCCAATTCGTCACGCACACCAACTTCTTGTTGATCTTTCTTTCACAACAAATACAAATAGTTCATCAGAAATATCAACACGGCCACACCATAAAAACTATGACAAAATCCATCTATAACATTTTATTTCATGTTATGAGACCTTCCCATATAGATTTAATTTTAAATGACATAGAAACAAGACATTTGTTATGTTTGGCAACTTGTAATTTATTTGTTCACATAATTTTTAACTGGAAAGTATATTTAACTGAAAAAAAGTTGTTAAGAAAAAGGTAAAATGATTATTGTGGCTGTTTGAACAACCAACCGAGGACATGGTACAAGCCTACATAACCTTCTGATGTTTAATATTGGCAAAGCAGTACATATATATATAAATGTGACCTAAAGCACTTTAGCTGCCTTATTGATGGGCTGGGCTTATTGATCTCCCAAGTATTCGATTTAACGAGTATATCACACTAACTTCTAAATCGAGAATAGATATGAATCAATCTTTTACGAAAACACTTTTACAGATAGAAGAAGCGATGAATACATAGCTACATTACATATATGTAACACTCGCGACATTCGTATTCACATATTCTTCTACCCATACATAACGCCGTGATTTATATACTAATTATTAATCAACAAACCAAAATGAAAAACCAACCCAAATTACCATCAAACCAAACTATAAAACATTTCGAAAATAAATATTGATTTTCACAAAATAAAAATAAAAACCCCAAAAAGAAAGGAGAATAAAAAAGACTATGTTGTGTTAGCTAAGTTCTGACAACTTTAACTAAAGTAACCCATGTGAGGCAAAAAGATCATAAAAGAGAATTAGAAAGCTAATTTCATAATCTCCTTTTGATCATTTTGCTTCACCATGAAGATCCTCCTCCTGTAGTACTGAACATCCCAGTCCAATATCCATTATTAGGGCTTGAGTTATTATTATTATTATTATTATTTCCATGACTCTTTTGTTGTTGATTATCATCATGATCAACTTCTTGTGTTATGCTTGATGAAAGCTCCTTCATTTGATCCCCAAATGGGAACAAAACTCTACCTTGTTGGTGATGATCATTATGAAGAGCTTCAGACCTATTGTTGCTGTTGTGTCCAAGCCCTTGATGATCGGTAGAGAAGGAGAGATTACTTGGCTTGTAATCCACCATTGTTGGAAACCCTGAGGAAGTGTAAAGCACAGTGTTTGAATCCATCATTGAACCGGAAGGCATGAATGAGTTAATCCCTGATCTAGCAGAAACATTAACTCCGGTTCTTAAAAGTTCAAGAGCTGAAACAGGAGACGACGAGGAGCCATAGAGAGAAGAAGATGATGAAGGCTGCTGCTGATGAGTTATGTTACCATTTCCCTCCATCTTCGGCATCTGAAGAAACTGAGACATATGGACATGATGATGATGTTGATCTTGCATGACCGGGAAAGACAACAAGTTGAGATCTTGTGATGACCCTTTCGATTTATTATGGATTTGGTTTGAGAAGAGTATTGGTGGGTTTAGATCTGGAAGTGTTGTGCTCAAACCAAGTGAAGATGGTGTCGTCTGAAGGATGTTTGATGAAGATGATCTCTTGTTCTTTCTTGAGCTTCCTCCCACAGGAACATTCCTAAGAGATCCACCTTCGGTCCAATACCTTCGACAACCTTTGCAGAAGTATCTTGGTTGTGTGAGACTATAGTTGTTGTAGTAACAAAACTTTGTGTTGGTTGAGTTACATCTTGGACAATTTAGTTTCTCTTGCGGTCTTGCTTTCCTCTCCGCCACAACCGCCGTATTGTTATTGGTGTTGCTTACGCCGGAGACGGTTGCTCCAGCGGATGAGACACCGTTAGATGTGAGAATGGTGTTTGGCCTTGCATTGGATGTGGTGTTTGATTGATGTGTATTGTTATTAGGAATCATCATCTGCTCCATTGGTTTTACGTTCATCATTTCTTGAAAACCCTAAAAAAGTGAAATTCAAAGAGTTAATTAGTAGAGCCTAATTTATATATATGTGTAATTATGTATAGACCATAAATGACTCATAAGTTAAGTAATAAGCTAATTGAAACATATGGTTAATTCGCAATATGCTTTGCAATTTTAAGCACTAATTAAACAGAAAATTGAAACATGCACATTATATTTTCCTTATTTGATATTCGATAGAACTATGTATATAGGATTCGTGGAAATGGAAAAGAGATGAACACCAAGAACAAAGGGTAAATAACAAATCATGACTTTCTACTAATATCTCCATTAGTTTCTCACAAATTTGGTTAATGATTAATCACATGAAAAGGCTGAGAAAAAAGTCCCGTGAGCTATAAATATATCTCTAATAGTTTCTTTCCGACCTCGAAACCTACAAAATGATAATTTTCCCATGCAAATTATTCATTGAATTATGTGCAAAAACTCATAAATACACATATATCTATTCTCAATAACCACAAATACATCAAGTTCATGATATTCATCTATATATAATAACATGTGCACACAGAAATATGCATATGATTTAAGTATGAATTCTTTAACGGATCATGGAGAAGGGGTAAGAGAAAGAAAAGAGAGAAAAAGGAAGAAGTAGTTAATAGGAAGAAGAAGAAACAAAAGAGAAGAGGCAAAGGAAGATCTTTTAAGCACCTGTGTCCACTTCGTAGCGTCCATGACTTCCGACAAAGAGAAAGCCAGAGAGAGAGAGAGAGATGTGTGTGGGTTTTGTTGAGTAAAGGCCAAAGAGAAGAATGTTTTTGGAGAACTTTTTTTTTTTTTTCGCCTTTTCTTTGTTTGTGAGTGATGGCTCTTCTATGCGTTGCCTTTCACTTTATGGATGATGAAAAAAGAGCCAGCGAAGAAGACGGAGAAGAGAAGAACCCAATTTTTAACTTATTATCTAAGAGAATATAGCTTATAATACATGATTTGTTTCCAGTAAAAAAATTCGATTCTATTAAAACTATAGTTTAATTATTGATCTATTGAACTGGAAAAAAAATATATCTGACTATATAGTTTTAGTTTAACTTAATAATATTTTTCTGATAGAAAAATGGTAAATGGCGAAATGGGTGGTCAAATCTTACGTATTTCTTTTGCCATTTAGATTATCAACATGAAAAAGATGTTTGATTTAGAGATTACATAATGTTTTTTAATATCATAATTATCATCCGTCTAATTCGGGAGAAAAATAAAGACTAAACTTTTAAGAAAATTTCGGTTATAATTAAAAAGAATAAAAGTAGGAAAAAAGAAAAAGTTGGGTTTGTTGATTTTGACTAGTGATGATGTCTCGTGACCGCTCTCTCTCTTGCTAGCTCTTTCTGGTCCCTCTTAAGAAAATATACTTTTCTAAGAGAAAAAATCGTGTGTAAGGAATTATGTCCTCTTGCTAAAATAATGGATATAAAACTCTTATGTGTGTATCATAATGCATAGTGTGAGTGGAACTATGAGTTGTATGCTATTTCTCGGCCTCCCATTTTGTGATTGGATACTATTTGTTGGCCATATGGTCCATCAAATCGCCTAGCTACATTTTTAAAATCCCAATACCATACCTATTTGTATATACACCACATGTCTTGCGTACATGTGATTAGTGGCTTTGACACCTAAATTTAGCTCGACTTTAAACCTTTTACTATATCTATATTCAATAGTAGTCATTATAAAACCTTATACTGATACGATCTCGATTTTATAAAACCGATGAGACTCGTTAATGGTTGAAAATCCAAAATCTAAGAGAATGATTAATTATACGGCTTTTGAAAGTTCTTTTCTTTCACTTACACAACTTTAAATTTTATGAAATAAACTTTTGAAAAAATGTTGTGACGGTAGTTTTTTTTATCCTGTTATACAATTTTGCTATCAAATATTTTCTAAAATAAAATTTGCTCATACTATTATTCCTTTGTTTGTTTGATTGCGACATTACATAATGTTACCAAACAACACCAATACCTAGTTACATTTATTTTAGCAATAAATAGCTTTCAGATGAAATCAAAGGGTCATTACATCCATATCTAAAGTTAAATATGATTTGAATTAAAGTGTTAAAGATCAACACCTAATTAATTTTACACAAACACATCTTATTAATTATATACTGTGAAATATGTACGTACACGGAAAATTCATGAGAACTATAGTAAACCGTGTGAACCTTATAGGTAAATGATTCAACATGAGTTATAAAGCAAATTAATCGCCATTTAAAAAAACCTGATACACAACTTTTTTGTAATGAATGAATTGACTCCTTTATATCAATTCATAGATTCATTTGGCACAATTATACAACGAATAATATACTAAAAAGAAATCCAAGTGAAATAATTTATAAATAAAATACTAGTATAGTAGTATTAGATTGCATCTATATGGAATTTTCGAGGAGGAGAATTTTGAAAAAGAGAAGGAGGGAGGAGAAGAATTTAGAAAAGAGGAGACCGACAGGAAGCGACAAAAAGGAGGTGGAGCAGGGCCCCACAATTCGTGGCGTGATTGTGATTTTATTTATTTATCTTACAAATCTAAAAGACTGTTGTAATTTTATTTTTCTTTCTCGATGTTGACATCTGTCTTCTCTTACCCAACACCTTCTCCCACCCAATAAAAATCTATTTCTCCATCTTATCGTGTCGTTTCACTGTTCCATCTTTACCTTGCCTGCCGTTTTGCTTTAACGACTTGTCAATTGCCACATGTCCTTGTTGTTGTTTGGTTTAGTCGGTTCGCAGATTTTTTTCTTTCTTTTAGTTATCAAAGCTTAATAAATAATTTGGGCTCAATATTAAATTTGGCCCAATAAGTATATTTAGTCATCAAGTTAGAGGCCCGATACTATCAAGCAGAAAACGATACCGTTTAATAGTGTGACGGAATGATCTAATTACTGTCATCATCGCTAACATGGCGAAAGGTCGGAGGAAGTAAGTGACGAAGAAGATGGGAACAAATGTAGCGCCATGGAAGCAGCTTCTCTTTGGCGCCATTGAAGCCAATTCTCATCTAAGCCACTCTTCTTACTTTCAGCTCGTATGTGTCTTCTTTCTGATTTTGCTGTTTTTCTCCAACGAGCGATGTTGTTGATGTTTGTGTGTGTGTTTTCAGGCAACGATTGGTTTCAGTGGACGGCCTTCTAATCGTACCGTCGTATTCAGGTGACACAAATTCCTGATTTCTCTGTTTAATTGTCAAATTTGATTTTGTTGGGTAGTGAGAAATTTTGTGTGTGTTTGGTAGGGGATTTGAAGAGAACAGTGACAGGATTCAAATCAACACCGATCTTCGTAGTCGTAAGGTCTTAGTTATTTTCCAGATTTATTATGTTGAAGCTGCTTCCGGATTTTAGCTCTCTTTGAAGTTTGATCCTGTAACATTTCTGTTGCAGATAGAAGAGCTTAAGCATTGTCCGTTTTCTGAGGTAAGCAATCTATTTGAGTTCGATTTGGATTATACATTGTGTATCGAAGAATCATGCGTTGATGCTACTGTGGTGGTTGTTTTTTGTTTAAAAGATATGTTGGTATTTCTCGGATACTTGGGAGCAATTCCGGATCAATGGAAGAGTTGAGGTCATTGATGCGTCCAATCCTGACCAGTCCAAGCTTCAGGTTTGATATACATTATTTCAATTTTAATACTTTCTTGGAAAGGAAGAAACACTTATTGATTTTAATTGCTGTGAGTTTGATGTATAGCAAAGAGAAAAAGCTTGGTTTGCTAATTCTTTAAGGTCAAGGCTGATCTACACCTGTCCTACTCCCGGTAGTCCTTGCAACAACGAACAATCAAACCAACAAGTTAATTTAGATCCCTCGACTGGTCCAGTTCCTGAGTACTGCCTGCTGCTTCTAGAGCCAGAAAAGGTTTTGTTTCTCATGTTCTTATAAAACTTTCTTTCTTGAGTTGTCCCCTATGTAGGAGCAGGTTTTTCATGAATGATTTCCCTTTAATGACAGGTTGATTACTTGAATCTGAAAAGTAATCAGAGGCTTTTGTTTTCTTCGATGGCTAGTGGAGCTGAAGAGAAGTCCTGGACTTCAGAAAAGGTTAACCCATAATTAACTTTTTATGTCTGAGAGGGTTATTAAAGATATATTTCTTATTTGTGTTTGTTTGTGGATTTTCCTTATGTGATACACCACACTTTGTAGCAATTCATAATCCTTTTACTTTTACTCTTCACTTTCGAACATCGCCGCCATATAATTAAAATATCTGAATAAAAGAATCTGAATCTTTTTCTTCTATACCATAGTCTCTATCCCTTTGAATGACATTTCATATGCTCTAGAATAATGAATAAGAAAAAGGCAAATGGAAAGTGTAGTTCTATTTCCGTGGTTGTTACCAAAAAAATTCTTCCTCTGAAAACTAGTTCTTTGTCACCATATGTTAATTTCAATGAAGCTAGCACTTTGGTAGATCTGCAGGAGGATGAGGCAGACTCTCTAGCACCTTCTTGCCATTTTTCACTATAAACATCGTGCTCATTCCCCATGTTTGATGGATGTCGAAATGACAATGCAATAACCAGAGCCCTATTCATTATAAAAGGTAGAATTTATCAGGAAATGGTATGTGTGTTGTGATGTTTAGGAGTTTTGTGATAAAGAATACCTGGATTGTTGGCAACAAACCGAATTGCCGCCCATCCTCCTACTGGGACTCCAATAGTGTTCATGTAAGGAGGATCCTCCAGGTTAAATTGTGCTGTTTGTTGATCATAGTTGCCTGTGCCATAGCCAATAACATAAAAGCTGTGTCCATGAAGATGAATTGGATGATTTTCTGTTGTGAGTGTGCCAGTATTCTGGAAGATGATTTGTATCCTGCTCCCATACTCGAAAACTATAGCTCTTGTCCCATTTGCAGCCTGCGTGTCATTGGCTATGTCATTGGGTGCCCCATTGACAAAGTCATAGGCTTTTTCCGGCGTGGTCGGGAAATCTAAAGTGAAGTAACCTTCCAGTTGCTTGTAATAAGCTTCTAAAATCGAGACTTTAGGTTCGACGAAGCTGATGTTGTTCATTGAAGCTGCTAGTCGTCCTTTTCTGGGCCCTTGACACTTGTTGTTTGGATTTTCAGAGTTACACTTGTTTACATTTATTCCGATTGTGATAAAGAGATGAGCGTCAATGTTTCTTGGAACATCAACTGCATTTAGACTTCTGAGCCCATCCATGACAGTCTTAACAGCAATATTATCATTGAAAATAGGTAACTTAGCTGGTACTGTTACACTGTTAGGCAATGCACCAATGTATTGGAAATTAGCTATCGCTGATGTGTTTTGAAACTTGACGTTCTTTGCAGACTCGTATGGACCCATGGCCATGGAGTATCTCCCAACGGCTTGATCAGCTGTGACAAGAATGTTCATTGTCTGTCCAGGTACAAGCATCACACGCTCTGTTGTATAAGGTTTGGTGTATTCGCCATCTACTTCCACTATGGTCAACCTGTGATTAGCTATTGTGAAGAAGGTCTCCATGTTAATGCCAGCATTTATCAGCCTTAGCAGGTATGTCTTCCTTGGTACTATCTGAATCTCAAAAACATCTGAAAAATAAAGATATAAAACACAAGAATCAGTGATCTGTTTTCTCGTTGTAAATTAATCATACAATTTTTCATCTGATATTTATTACCATTAGAGGAGCAATTGTAGTTAGGTCCTGGTTGACCATTAATTGTGAATGCATCTGCTGGAGGAGGAGGTCCTCCACTTTCCAGTACTTGTTGTTCCAGCTCTACCACGTTCTTAAGCCAATACTCTCCTAGATTTATTAGGAGACAAACAAGTTCAGTGACACCAAATAGTGAAAGAGTCTAACTTTATTAAGAATAAAGATTACCTAGAAGAATTGTATGCTCGTTGAAGGGTTTCTTGAATGGGTAAGGAACAGATAATTTAGGATATACAATAAGCGGACCATATACTGTAGCTCTAAGCCAAGAAAAGTGTGCATGCCATAAAAAGGTGCCCTTTTGTTGTGCCACTTTGAAGTTGTAAGTGAAACTTTGTCCACTCTGAATTGGACATTGTGTGATATAAGATGGACCATCATACCAACATGATAGTTTTTGCTTAATACCATGCCTGCGCATAATAGAAACAAGTTTTGTTAGTCTAGAATTTGTCTTATATGCATTTATTTATACTTTATGTACATGTGTATATGTATATCGGCATACCAATGAATTGTGGTATTATAGGGGGTCATGTTGATGACTTTAACGACAATTCTGTCATCTTCTTGAGCAGATATCGCAGGGCCAGGGAATTTCCCGTTGACTGTTACAATCTCGTTTGTTTGGCATAGCCTGGTGAGTCTTATTGTTTGTACCTGTTAGAAAATTCAACAGACCTCTGTTTAGAAATCTGAATACAGAGAAGATAGACAAAAAAGGCATGCATGAGATGTGTAATATGTGTTCCATATCCTAATATGAATATTTATGTAAATTTTACGTTTCTGATACCTTGAATTGGTAGAACCTAGTTGCAGCGCTAATCCTGCCAACATTCATGACTTGAAGAGTGAACAAGAAAAAGCTAAGCCGGAACAAGCACAAGGCAGCTGAATTGGTCATCTTGAATGAAAAGGGACAAGGAGATTTGAGGTTGAAAGGTACTGATCAATGCAACTGGTTTTTATAGTGTTTGAATATGAAAAAATAGGAAATATAATATATAGTGTTGAGAAAAAGTTTCATGATTTGTAGAGTTGGGACAGAGACATTAGTGATTATAAGGTGTTGGGAAGGCGTGACTTGTTTCTTGACCCCAGCGTGAGATTGAAGGCAACACACGAGTTACTATAAAAGGGTTTGAAAAAGGAGAAAGATACTCTTAGTTAGTGTCTGCTCTTTGATTTTGAATCAGTAAAAGCTTTACACATTATGATGCAAGATTCTCTACCAAACTTGTGAAACTGCAGAGTGATCTGGACCAACCTGGTTTTCACCAAAGACTACCAAAGCAACTTTCTTCTTCAAACTAGCTCAGTGGAACCGACCTGGTGACTATTCCTTTTGAACTGTCGTTATTCATCAACTTTATACATACGAGTTTTAGGATTAGCCCGGATAAGTGAGGTGCATGATTTAGTATCATTAGAGAGTGTTTAGTAGGGTCGTGTTGGGTTTTTTAGAGTGTTAAAAGAGAAAGAAGAAGAAAGAGTAAGAAGGGATCAAGTTTCTTGGTCGGAAGTTTGGATGGTCTTAATTCTTTATTGGTCGTGTCATCATCAAAGTTCGTGCACGCCTTAACTTGCCAAAGACTCATCTTATTTGTTTTTTTTTTTGGTTTAATTTCTGATCTTGTTTTTAGATTGGAACATGATGATTGATTCGAATTTTGACCTACTCATTTTTTCTCATACTCTAAAGGGCTAAAACATTAATGCGTTTCTTTGCATGAAGATGGTCGTTAATTATGTTTTGACTGATTCATAAATTTTTGAGTTTTGACATATTCTGCCAAATCATACCACACGAATAAAAACATATTTTAATGTAAGGGATGCCAATCTGCTCATTCGCTTATAATAATGTTAAACAAAAAGTTATGTTAAAAAAAAATATGTATTCGTTTATATAAAAATAATAAAAAATAAAGTAAATAAATAATGTTCTGATTAAGAAAATACGCATTTATGTTATAAAAATGTACGATGAAAGTGTTTTAATCATAAAAATACACAGTTAAAATACAATGAGGCCTAAATGAGATCTGGGCCTTATTGAGATATAGGCTCGAGCTGAAACATTCTGATTTAGAAGGAGGGTTCGATGATCCTACTACTGGTAAGTAATTTGTAGCACAAACGGAAAAATAAATAAATTTTGGTCTAAGATTTGAGTTTTCCGTTAAAACCCGTGATTATGCCGGAGACGAGTCACGACGCGATCTCACCGGTCACAGATCCGATCGATAATTTGCCTCTCCGGCAACTCAGATCGGAGATTGTTCCTCCAGCTCCGAATCGATCCCAATCTTCTATTGACTGGCTTCCTGACTTCGCCGGTTACTCATGGCTTGCTTATGGAGCATCCACTCTCCTCGTCATCTCTCATCTACCTTCTCCTCTCCGCGGCGAAGATTCCACGAACGGACCATTTTTCCGTCAGATTCTAGAGGTTTCCGGCGATGTTTCGTCTCCAGTTACTTCCGTTTCCTGGTCTCCTGTAACGCCGTCTGTAGGCGAGCTCGCTGTTGGGTCTGGGAACTATATCTACCTCTTCGCGCGTGATTCCAGTAATTTAAATGGTAAGCCTCGATCTAGAGCTTGTTATTCTTCGTTAGTTGGGGTTTAGTTTCTGAGCAAGTAGTCTGGATTGTGATACCTGGGTTAGGAGAGAATGATTATCCATCTACTGGGTTCAATTAGTAATACTGGTTCTTAATGGTTATCCATCTCCTGGGTTCAATTAGCATAGTGATATAATAATGTGTCTTTCTTCTCCTCCCAGATTTAGTTTGGATATCTTAAATATGAATGTCTTTACTCATATTCAGGTTCTTTTTGTTGGAGTCAGAATGCCATACTGGTGCAAGAGACAAAAGTTGAAGCGATTGAGTGGACAGGATCCGGGGATGGGATAATAGTTTGTGGAACTGATATTGTTCTGTGGAAGAGAAGGAACCAATCTTGGGAAATAGCTTGGAAGTTCTCGGGGGATCACCTTCAAGATCTGGTATCCTCCACCTGGTCATTTGAGGGTCCTTTTGCCACAGCAACTTCTTGGAGGAAGTTTCCAGCTGAGTGTGACGAGGCAGGTAAAAGTGTCTTGGCCTATTATAGTGATGGGGAATCATATCATAAATTTGAATTGCCACATCCTCAGAGAATATCCATGATTCAGTGGAGACCGATGGCTGCAGAACAGTCTGCAATAGGTATAGGGAAATCAATGAGGAATCTGTTAATGACATGTTGCTTGGATGGGGCAGTAAGGTTATGGAGTGAGGTAGATGGTGGAAAGACAAAAAAGGGCATGAAAGAAGTACCTGATCATAAAAAATCGTTTTGTGTGGCAGCTGTGATAGAGATAAATCAGGTCTTGGATGGCTGTTTGGGTAGAGATTTATTTCTTTTTTGGGGAACTCGTACAGGGGGTATATTGAAAACCATCGAAGGTACTAATCAATTTTTTTCTATGGAAAAGTATGATCATGAGAATGTTGGAAAATGTGAGTGGTTGGTAGGGTATGGCCCTGGAAATTTGGCTACTTTGTGGGCTGTCCATTGTCTTGATGACATCTCTCCTATGAGGTTTCCACGAGTAACATTGTGGGCGAAACAAGAATCAAATGAAATTGGTGCAGTATCACTCTCTCCAGCGGATGCTACAGGTTCTTCTGATCGATTACCCCTTAAGAAAGTTTCTGTATTGAGAAATAACCTTTATGGCACACCACTTATCTGCTCGTCGATTTATTTATCTCCGCAGAATACTGTATATTGGTCTTCCTTGCACACAATAAAATCACATGACTCAGAAGATTCATCTCCAAATAAATCCAGTTTATTGAAGTGCATTGATGGAAAAGTATTATATCTAAATGGTCATGGTGGGAAAATCCTACAGGTTGCCTTTGATCCTTTCATATGTGAGGCGGGATACACTGCTTCCCTGGATTCTAATGGTTTGATAATAATCTGGTCCTCTAGTGCTTATTTGAACCGTGCTATTGACCATCCTATATCAGTTGCCTCTTGGAAACCTTGTGGATGGCTACAAAATCAAGAGTTCAGATTAAAGTACACAAGTTTATGCTGGGCACCTTCTTCATTGAAAGATGAGAGATTTCTACTTGTGGGACATGCAGGAGGCGTTGATTGCTTTAGTGTAAGGAATTGTGGGAAAGGTGATGATGGTTATCTAACCCATTACATTTGTACCATACCGTCTGCAGTTAACAGCCCCTTGCAGAGTGGTCCAACCAGCATATTTGCAAGGCCTCTGTCTAATTCTTGTGGAAAGACATTCAAAAGTAACAGATTTTTGCTTCTGAGTGTATGGATGAAAGAGAAACAGTTTGATGCTCTGTCATGGAGTGTGACCTTGCATCATTTTGATACTGCAGGAAGCACCTGCGATTGTCATTTTCATGATTTTGATAGTACTGGATTGGGAAAGTGGTTATTCGAAGATACTTTTGCTGGTAAGAAGAATTGCATTGCTATTAGGTCATGCTCTTCAGAAATACCTGAATCTCACCGTGACGATGAAGTTACGAGTTTTGCTGTGGTCAATCCATGTGGCAGGGCTCTAGAGAATGACATGAACAGTGAAAGTCAAGCTTATACTATGGCAACTGGTCAGGCTGATGGCTCTTTAAAAATTTGGAGAAGTAGTTTTCAGGAAAGTTCAACACCTTCCGTTCCGTGGGAGCTAGTTGGCATGCTTACCATTGGCCAAAATCCTGTCAGTGCTATATCTCTGACTGATTCGGGACATAAGATAGCAGCCCTCTGTACAGAGAATCATTCAAAAGCTGCCTGCACAATTAGCATATGGGAGATTATACACCTTATAGATTCAGGGGTTTTCATACTAGAGGATAAGTTACATGTTGATGCAGAGGTTGTTGCTGTAAGATGGTCAATTGCGAGTAATGATCAGCTATTGCTTGGAGTTTGCACACAGAAGGAGCTGCGGGTGTATGGTATTGCTCGGCAGCCCTGCAAAAGTACCAGTTTCGCGGTCTCTGATTATTCTTCAGAGGGACAGATTTGGCAATGCTTCGCTGTTACTCATACGTTTTCTGCTATATGTGATTTATGGTGGGGACCCAAAGCCATGACTTGTCTTGTTCATAACGATTATATTAGTCTACATGGTCAATGGCTGGCTGTTGTTGATAAGAAACAAAAGATCGATAACTATCCAGAAATTTTTGCAGCCAATCTTCCCAACCTAGTAAATGCTACAGAAGAAGGCAGAGGCTCTGAATTGTTATCTGACTCTGGTACTAATGATATCAAAGAAGCTGATACTGCATATATTAGCAGAGGATGTATTCCTCTACCTTCAACTAGTAATGCAATTGATGACGGGCAAGTCAATAGTATGTCACTGATTGGGACCGCATATGGTTCAGATATTAATGAAATTATGAGCATGGGACATATGGTGGAGAAGTTAGGAGGTGCTTTACCACTTTATCACCCTCAAGCCCTCCTTGTAGCTATACATTCAGGTGAAATGCTGCAAGTGTTTTCTGTTTTGCTCTTCTTCAATCAATTCTGAAGCGAAGCTGTTTAGCTTTTATTTAGCTTTGCTTTCTTATTTTTCCTTCGTGCAGGAGCATAACCTGTGTGATGCGGTTAATTTCACCTTAGCTAAAGATTGTTAACTCTGATGTGTTCAGGCAATTGGAAACGAGCAAGCGCAGCTCTAAGGCATCTTTCTGAATATATTACTTCAAGTGATGCCTCCGAGAAGGGATATACTGTAAAGTCAGTTCTTTGTCCAGATATCCTTTTGTCAAAATATTATGAAGGGTCTCTCTCCACTGGTCCAAATCCTAAGGATTTCCAATGGGGTGGGACATCTGGTTCAAGTTTTAATATGGAATCGTATAGTCCCAATAGTAGTCACAGTTCACCTGCAACAGA